ATTTCAGCAAGCATTGAACAACCAAAGTTCCTTTAAATAGGATGATGAGCAATCAGACCTGAAATCTCTACAATTTCACTGCGCTTTGTGGGAAATGAATAGTGGTTCTCTTACAGTGTCAGACTCATCTTTGCTTTTGCAACTTCTTCATACCCCATTCTGGTAGCTGATACAGGAGGAATGAGGAAGAAGAATTTGGCTAGTAGTATTGCCAGCTGTGGCTGAGATTGCTCAGCTCTGAAGTGAGATCGTGCTTAACTACCTTTGTATCCCACTGTTGTGGTTCAGCATGTGCTCAGGGCTCACTCTGCCTTGGTTTTCTTCTGCAGCACCTGCATGCTAATTATCAAAAACCCCTCCTTCTCCCTGTCTGGTCATCATAGAGCTTGCTCATTCCTGCAGTCACCTACAGCTGCTTTGTTCGTTGTGGCCACTTAGTATTTAATTTTTTTTTTGGAAAGTGTAGCTGGATGATGTGCTGCACTGTAGCATTTTCGGAAGTCCATACAAATAACATCAGAGTATTCTGCTTTGCCTATTTGAATCCCATATTTAGTCCTTATTAGCTTGACARGTGTCATAGCTTCTAGCTGGGCCTCAAAGTGAGCTTGGCCAAGTGTACCTGTGTAATTGTAGGAGAAATCACATTTTCACAGCACATCACTGCACGATTTTATGGCTAAATATTCACTTCTCCTTGGTTAATAAAATGGAAGTTTTATTTAGCCCTTGCATATAGAGTCAGTTCAGGGATGGCTTCAATTTCTGTCCGCAGTGGACAATAATAGTGAGTGCTTTGGTTTTGACGTGCACAATGTGACAGTTACAGTAATGAATGAATGGAACTGTTTAGGCTGCTTGAAAAGCTGCCTTTCATGTGAGGGAGGAGGTGAACAGCTAGAAGGAAATCTCTTTCAAGTTGATTCCCAGTGCAGAAATAAATCTCATGTGGGTGAAAGGGAGGAAACAGACACCTACCTGGAAATCTAAGACTGTAAGTGAGATGTCACGGAAAAAAAGCRGTGGCATCTACTCACAAGATAATCATTAAGGAAAAAAAAAGTGGGAGAGCAAAGAAAAGCTAGCAGTGCTTCTGTGAAAGTTGTTTTTTTATGGTATTGTCATTTTTATGGAATTGTCATTCTAAGACTGTTGAAATTATAACACAAAACTGTTGGGAACATATTGTCTCTTGTCTATAGGTGTGGTATTCATTCAGCTGGGTTACTTTTGTGCTGTTAGCTGGGTTGAGTTGGATGCAAGCTGGTGTCATGCAGCTGTGGAGTAGCATATGTGTGCCACAGCTGGAAAGAGGAGAGGCTGGCTGTAGCTCCTGTGAGCAGGGGAGGGAGGGGCTTTGTGCTTCCTTGTGAATTGATTCATTCMGATTCTAAACTACAGGTGTGCACTGCTACTCTGAAACCTCAGAGAAGGGTTGAATTGAAAATTGTATCATATGACAAGCTGCCTATGGATATATCCTTTTTTCCCTAGYTATTTTTTCTTGCCAACCCTTAGAGAGGGGACACGGAGCTTTTGCATTTGTATGGGATTAATAAATTGAAATATTTTTGGAGCAAATGAGCACTGGTTCCCCCAGCAGAGACATCTTGTAGGGCACTTTACAAGCAATGTTCCTTCACTGCAGCTCATAGACTGTTTGAAGCTTCTGTTGTGGGCTATATTTTGCTCTAGGTAGCCAAGGCAACTGCGTTGGGGTTTTTTCTTTGGTGGGTGAAACTTTCCTCCTGCAGCACAGCTTGGAATTTTGGCTGATTACAACTTAATGTWATATCAAAGAGCACAGTATAGGAAGTAATAAAACACCCAAAGCATATATGTGCTGGTAATGCTGAAAAAAAAAAAAAAAGGGGGATAAATAGAAATGTTTCAAAAGACTGAAGCTGTTTGTGGGTTTTTGTTTCTTTGTTTGGTTTGGTTGTTTTGGTTTTTTTTTGTTGTTGTTGTTTTGAAACTACTATCAAATCTTACTTTGGATTTGTTTACTTAGCCTGTTTTGGTTCTTTTAAGGTATACTTAACATTTTGCAATCACTGACCTTGGCACAGGACTTTGAGCTGTGCTTGTTGAATGAAGAATAGAAGCACAGTGTGACTGGCATTTCCATTCAGTCAGATGGGCTTTGGGGTCTTGCAAGATACCAGCAGAATGCTAATGGTGAGCCAAACAAACTAGCTGGCTCCTATCTGGTGGATTTGCTTTCGGCTGAGGACCTAAAGTCTCATGAAATGCTGAACTGTCCATCAAGGTTGATGCAGGTACTTCAACCGTGACCAAACCTCACCACCTCACTGTGCAGGCTTCAGGAAGCTCCTGACCGGACAATGGGATGTGTTTTTACTTATCACCACTATACCTTGAACTAAACCTTTGGATTATTTATTTATTGCTGAGAAATGTTTGACACAGTAGAGACAGTGAATTCTGTAAAAAGCAGAGCTTCTGATCCAAATTAGATTCATTATTTGGGTTGAATGTTGCAAAAGATTRGATAGGAGATACATGGGGATTGGGGGAGAGGAAGGAAAGGATGGAAATGAGTTGATCATCAATAGGTCTAATTAGTGTCTTGAGAAATCTGTAGAGAGAACAAAAGGAGGAATTTGCTTGAGAATGTGTGTTCAAGTAAGCTAGAGAATTATGTAGGCCTCAGTCTTCTTTTAATTTTAATTTTTTTTTCTCTGCATTGTTAATGATAAAATGGAATTGAAATTATTGGTAATTTGTTTTGTTTGCTTGAGAGGACCTTGTTTGTATTTTTTTTGTGAGAAGGTAGTGTTTTATCTCATTTTGTTTACTTTACTGGTGGATAACTTATTTTTTATGTTAGCCAGAAAAAAAAATATGAAGGGGCAGTCAAAAGCTATGAAGCTGAGACACTTTTGTGGAAGGAGGGGTAGATTTTTCTAMTAAAAATTCTGGAGGTCTAATTAAGAGTTACCTTTTGGTGATACKAATATCTTTTTAGTTCCACTTCGTTATTTGTGTAAGCAGCTTGGATGTGATTTAGTTGCTTAGATGTGATTAGAAGTTGCAGCCCGGGAGAGCAAGGAGGAAAGACAACAGTGAAATCAGCATTGGAAACCTGGTTGAAGGAATTGCYTGGAGGAGGGATTTAGGAAACTGCAGAAAGAAAAGGATTTCAAAAGTCAGCAAAGACAGAGTCAGCAAAGAAGCTGTTTGAAGCTGAGTAGATAGATGTTACCAGCTTCTGTTGCTGGCATCAGGCACAAACACATAGTTCAAACTTTGAGATTAGCAATCATGGGCTTCTCTGCAGCAGTTTTCCAGGATTTGCCTATGAGATGGGTTGTGAGAGTAGAAGAGTGCCCGTGTCAGGAAAGGGGCAGCTTTTGGTATCTAGACCTTGCATTACCTGTTAGGATCCATAAGCACTGTTTTGACATTATGATATTTTCTTTTTTAAATAGAGTGTTTTTTTCTATTCAGAAGCTTCTGTTCAGAAGCAGGAATGCTCATTTGCTGTCACAGCATTGTATGGCTCCTTGAAAGTCAAAAGAATGTGTTGTCTTTAAGCAAGACTAACACAGACTTGGCATCTCAGCGAGAGGAGGCAAGCTGGGGTAGAGTTCACTGCAAGCTTTCCTTTGGCTTTTGTTTTCATTGCAACTACGTTTAGCAAGTATTTTCCTGTTGTGTAAAATTTTACTGTAATGAAAACATTAGACATGAAGAAGCCAGGTATGTCTTGAACTTGCCATCAGGATTATGATATGCCTTCAAGCTGTTTTAGTTTCTAGGGAGGCAGCAGTTATTTCTGAAGACATTGCCTGATGTGAAACTCAGTGTTTGTCCAGTAGTGGAAATACTGTCTCTGAGTATCAGTCAACTTGTTGGCCCAAACCTCTCAGTAAAGTGGAGTGGGTAGGTTGTGGGAACAAGATGTGCTTTCATCAAAGTCCCAGTGTCTTTGCTTGGTTGGAACAAGACATCGTTCCAGCTTGCACTGGCTTTCCCCTTGTGAGCTCAGGACTGTCAACTGAYGCAGAATTGATCCGTTTGTGATGAAGACTCTCATGCAGAAAGTGRAAAATGTATTTTGAGTTTAACTGTTCTGAGATGGATAATAGTAATCACAGCATTTGGATAATACAGACATCAGATAAAGKTTTTAAAAACTTGTTGGTGGAATAGCTGTTATTTCTACCTCATCACTGATCAAAGAAAGGAAGCTGTGGTACAAGTCTCAGGATACCTTTGGCTGTTTAAAGCTTGTGCTGAAGTCTTAATGCTGGTTTTTGCATGCCTGCAGCTGTGCAAATCTTTTGCTTCCTTCAGAGCAGGTGGAACAGCTGGTTTGAGGTGGGCTTCTGGGGGGGCAAGGGGTTATGTTGTGCAATACTAGAGGGACGTATTTAGTATGTGTCACTGTATTGCCTTGGTACAAGCAAGCACTTGACTTGCCTGTCAAGACGAAGTCTTTSCTTTGTATTTCTGTCATAGCATTTCTAATATATGCCATTTGAACAGACTGCCTTTAGCAGTAACAGCTTTGTAGATTTACAGCAGGTATTTTGTTTGTGCAAAGTCTTGGAGTTTGACAGAATGCACACTCTTTAGCCAGGAGAGTCATTATTTATAGCAGAGAGACTGGCAGGTAGAAAAGCAACTGGGGGTCTCATGTTGCAACTGGGAGACATATGTGTTATCAACTTTGTCCATAAAGTAGTCTCTTTTAAAAAATAATATGGTATGCCTATGGGTGAAATATGCTCATGGCACCAGTGGTTCTTATTCACATAGTTCTGCAGAAAATGCTGATGTCATGTGTATGTGTATGTAAATAAACAAGTATTCATGTGTGTATGCTTGTGCCTGTGTAAGGCACTCAGCTGTTTTAATTGAGTCAGTGCTTGCAACACTACTGGACTTGGTTCCATACATCTTGAGTCACATGAGATACAGACGAGGGCTCCTGTGCTAATTTGTTTTCTTTTCTGTTTTGCTTTTTTGTCTAGGGTAATAAATGCAGGGAAGAGCACGCACAATGAAGATCAAGCCAGCTGTGAAGTCCTCTTTGTCAAGAAAAAAGCTGGAGGCAGTAATTCTACACCAAACAAGAACTCTTCAACAAAACGAAGGTCATCGCTGCCCAATGGAGAAGGTCTCCAGCTGAAAGACAATTCAGTAAGCCAACTTCTGTATCTTGTCAGTGGAGAGATAGAAAATAAATATAAAAAGATGTGTGAATGTGACAYTAAAAGGTGTTTTCTGAATATTTCATATCTTTTCAGTTATCTCATTAATTATCTCTGCTTAAATGCAGAGCGCTTCACTATATTTTTCTTAGCTCTCCTACTTAATTTTTTGCATTGAAAAATGCTCCTTGCATTTATAGAAGATATTTTTGTTTAAAGATGGGTAAGAAGATGCTCCTGGATTTTTTTATATTTAATTTCTGAAATAGAATATTGAGAAATTTGAGGATGTTCAAAAGGCTGGAGCACCTCCTCTGTGAAGACAGGCTATGATTTGGGGTTGTTCAGCCTGAAGAAGGGAAGCTTCCAGGGAGTGCTTAGACTAGCTACCCAGTACCTAGAGGGAGTTGGAGAGGGGCTTTTTACAAGGGCCTGTAGTGACAGGACAAGGAGTAAGGACTGCAAACTAATAGAGGGTTTAGGTTAGATATTAGGCATAAATTCTTTACTGTGAGGGTGGTGAGGCACTTAAACAGTTGCCCCRAAAAGTGGCCAGGTTGGATGGGGATTTGACTTTAGTGGAASGTGTTCTGCCCATGGCAGACAAGTTGGAGCTAGATTTTTAACGTCTGTTTCATCCCAAACTATTCCGTGGTTCTGTAATTTACACAAATGCCTCGTGGTGCCGCAAACACAGGGCAATTTCCATTTGCTCCTTCTAAGTTTCTGCTCTGTCTTGTAGGCACATTTGCTCTACATGGAACTCTGTGAACACTGCATTAGCAGCTGTTTTCACTGTGCCTACACAGAGCTCAGATAAAGTCCATGATGAACCATGCAGGCTGCTAAAACATGTCCTATATCCAAGCCACTAAACCACATCTTCAGTCAACATCAGGAAGATACCTGCTAACTCTAATGAACTACTAAAGCAGGAGAATCTTTTGGTTTACGCTGGTAGGGGAAGGTCATCGAGCACACAGAATTCAGTGATTTTTGCAGACTATAGCCTCTCTTATTTGTTTGTAGTGTTATATATGTCATACACTTGCCTACTGACAATCGTCTGCTATTCTTCATCTGTCTTGTTTCCTGACTGACTAATTACTTAATCTGCTCTTTTAAGCATGAGCTCAGCCTCCAGCAGTGATTGGTAGTGTGTGTTCAATWCAAACTTTTCACGTAGTACTAAATGTCCTGCCTGAATATTGGAGTCAGACAACATGGATATGCTGCATTCATGCTGCTGTAGGACACAAGTTGTCTCTAAGTGATAATTAGTTTTTCAGTGGACTGTAAGTAGCCTTTTTTGGTAGTTTGAGGTTCTGTTTTTTTTTTTCTTTTTGGTTTAGGGGTTTGGTTCATTTGTATATTTTCTTTCTGGTTTGGTATGGGGTTTTTTCTTGGTTTGTGTGTGTGGGTGTGGGGGTGTGTGTGTGTATRTGTGTGTCTACTTTAAATCAGGTGGTGATTAGCAATGTGCTTTAGTCTCTCTCCTAGAATTCCATGGCTCGGTACAGCTGATGGCTGCAGGGTTCATTGGGCTCCTGAGAAACAAGCATTTCTCTTTCACTGTGTCCCTCCCTGCCTCTTGCACCTCCTGTTCTGTTTCATGCTTCATTATTGCTGCAAGATTTTCAAACTGACAGATTCTCAGGGTTTGCAAATTGCCCTGTTCTTTCCTCTTTAAAATCTTTCTTTAAATCATGTTTCAATGCTGGTGTGCTGATGTTCCTCATTGTATTCAGACAGTCATGATTTCTTTTTTAAGTACATTTTTGCAAACTCCTGGATAAAGAATTGTGCCCAGAACTTGCTGAGACTAGGAGTTCTAAATACAGTCATGCAAGACAAAACAGAATTTGTTTTAATAAACTGTGTTTTAAAGCTTTCTGCAAAGTTCATGCAACTGCCTGCTGTTCTTTCGTTTCAGGAGTGTATGGGACATAAAAATCTTCATAGAATTGTTTCACAAAGACTGATTAACTTCCAGTATCAAAAGCTTCTCAGGAGAAAAAGCTATGCAGTGCATGGTTAGTCACCTTCCTGAGAAATAACTTTTTTTCCAAATAGTACATAGTTAATAAGATTAGAATGCATAAACAAGACAGGGGTCTAAAATTGTGTCATTATTAAGAAGGCATCTTAACTAACCTTGATGTTATCCATTGTTACAATTGTTTTAGTGTTATGGTAATGTAATGGAGCATCAATAAAATACAAGTTTCTGAAAGGTGTTCTTTTTTATCCATTTGGAATTTCATGATTGACAGTAAATACCTACTCAGTAAATATCTGCTTACCCAGTGTTTTTGAGAAGTATCTCATGGAATGTCCTGATTTTTCTTCCTCTCTTCACTAGTGTGTTTTCTAGCTTGATTCTGTATCTTTTATCTTGATGTTGGAAGAAACAGCCACTCCCTTTCAACTTCCTTGAGAGAAAAACACTTTTATTTCAAATCTTCTGTTCTTGTTTCTATTTCTGACGTATTTTGACCAGACAGGAGCATAACATCTGAAGTCAGGAGCCAGTTGATCGATATAATATACTGTTTTCTAGTGACTTGTTGTCTTGCTTTTTATATGTTCTCTTCTTATCTACAGATTTACTTCTGTTTTCTACATGGCACTGGAATGAGTGCAGTCACACTCATTATTTAGCTGTGGAAAACCTTTTCTACCATGTTATTAGACCACAGCTGGTGCATTTAAATTTGTAATGTATTTTCCCAAAACAGGCAGTATATTTCTGGAGAAAGTTTTCTACTAGAGGGCAGTCTTATACTGGCAGTTAGTAGGATTTTTTCCTTACAAGATCTTTTGTTGGTTGAATGTATCTAAAAAGGGGAGGGAGGCAGGAGAAGCAGATTTCTATAATGTGTCATTTTTATTTTAATAATTGTATACTGTGAGGTATAATATTGTGTTTTGTCCTCATGCTGCATTGTTGTCAAATTTTTTTAAGGAGTGTATGAGTTTAGTCTTAAATGTGATGAATTGTGTTAAATGCAACTTAATTTGTATGAATAAGATTTAGAAATACTGGCTTTAGACACTACAGTGAATGAATGATAGAATATCATCCCAGGAAGTATTTTGTAAGAAAGCCAGAGGGAAATCCCACTGTAACACATAATCTGAAATTGTCTCTATGTAGTGAAGCACCTTGCAGAAGTACTGAAGGAAAAAGGAATAAAGGAAGAAGTTTATTAAAAGGAAAAAGTTATTCTATTCTTGTTCAGTTTTTTAAAGTGTGGAGCACAAGGGAAACAGGCACTGAAACTTAAATTGTCTCTTCATTTAAAAGAGTCCTTTTCATCATCCTCAGATTTTTCTTTTTTTCCACAGAACCTTTGAGAATGCCTTAAACCTTTGTTTTATCATGCTTTTTGGGAAGCTTGTGAAACATCAGGTACATCTGAGACTGTGGGATTATTGTTGTTTAATGCCCATCAATCCAGCACTCTGCTTTGACAAAGCAGCATAAGGGAGTTGGAAATCCATGTGTTGTCCACATGAGTGCCACTATGATGATCTTGACTCTCCACATAGACTCTACAGAGCTTCCAGGGGTGAAAAGGAGAAGGTGGTAGGCCAGAAATGCAGAAATGCAGAAATGGAGCATCTCTTTAATCCCAACACATACACAAGTCCCGGGAAGCCTATTAAATAGCATAAATATGGTTTTATTCTTGAAAGGGTGGGTAGTAAAATGAGCAGAGCAGTGAAATTCAACCCTAAGTTAATTCTCTCAGATTCCCCCACCCTACTCTGTTGCTGCTTGATTAATCATGTCTGCTGTGTGTGTCCGTATTCAAGAGCATTCACATTAAATTGCACAGCTTTTTCACTAGTACTATTTTTAAATGCCTTTAACTACAGAGTATCTTTGTGATGAATGCTGAAAACCATCAGCAAGTGAAATGGAAATCCTGTGCCAGGATATTGTATASTGACGATCAGGCTGCAGAACTTAATGTGATACGTTATTAATTGTCATTGTAATGTGTGGATACACAATTATTAATTCTGCAGTTTTCTTTGAATCTGGGATGGTTTATATGTTTTGTGGGGCACAAGGCTGGTAGCTTACCATAGGCAGCTGAACATATCATTGGTAACATAAGGAGACTTTTCTTTGAGGATTGGGGTGGCAATTGCTGGCTGTCGTGGTTTGAACTTGACCAAAAGCCAAAAGCACTGCACCCATGATGTTCTCTCCCTTCCCCCCACCTGAGAGGCAGAAGGGAGAGCAACAGCCCAATTAACACGAAAATTTATGGCTTTCAGATAACATAACATAATTGAGAGAAAGATACGTATATGCTCCAGAGAATGGTCAGACAGGCTGAATAACTTAAGTTGCAAAATAGATATATTACTAAAARCTGCTAAGAATACTACCGCCCTGGGGAGGGGAACAAAGATAGGGAAAAATTTACAAGGAGAAGAAAAATAAAAACGGACATTTTAAGACACCTGTTATCCTTTTGGGGACCTGTCTCTTTCTCAGGTCGTCCCTCTCCACCCCCCTCCCATGTCTTCCTGCACACAC